TTTTTTTTTTTTTTTTTTTTTTTTTTCTGAAACCCTAGCCTGCACTTCGACCAAATCTGCTGTATTTGCATGTTTTTTCCCCCTCAAGTTCAGTATTTGGGCATTTTGATTTTGTTTGAGAAGTTGAAAATTTCTGGCCCGACATTGCCTGCTTGCGCGTGTTGTTTGAATTAGGGTTTACAGTTTGGGAATAATGGAGGTCGACAAGGGGGTGGCGGAAAGTGATGCCTTCGTGCTCGGCATATCAAAGCTGAAGCAAGAATACGAGGGATGCATTAGGTGTTTGGAACTTTACGACAAAATCACAAGTGCCGACAACAAATCCTTACAATTGGAGTTAGATGTCTGGAAGAAAGATAACTTGATCGACTCGCTGAAGAGTAAGCTAGGTAGCGTGGAACTCGAAAAACTAAAACTAGAGAACGAGGTCGTGTTGTTGAAGCAGAGGAATGCGGAGCTTGAAAGCCGTGTTCGGAGTTTTAAGGAGGAAGAAGGAAAGCTGGGGATGTTGATGATCGAAAATAAGGTATTGGAATGTGAGAAGAAGAAGGCGGAGGTTGATATCGGGACTTGGAAGCTGAAGTGTAAAGAATTGGATATGAAGTTAATGGAGGTGGAAAAGAGACTCTCTGTTGGTATGATGAGAATAGCTTCGAAAATTTCCTTGAAAAGTGGTGTCGGTGAGAACGGTTCTTTTTTACTTTTGTTTATAAATGTGTCGATTTTTTTATGCAGGTAGACCATTAACAGTGCAAACTGAAAAGAATTCGGATGAGGATAATGATGATCAAGGTGTGTTTCTTATTATTGATTACCATTGGTACATACATATTTTATAGATTCCTGTGTTATATTTTTCTTGATCGATAGATATAAATAAATGGACAATCGTGTTGGGTAATGATATAAGCTTCTATGCCTTCTGATATCAGCATATTTCTTGTGTCAGTTTCCACTTACTTCTTCTCCTTAACAGGCACCATTAACACTCCACATAAGCTTGATAAGGAACTCGAAAGATTCAATAAAAACCGTGCATGTGGATTTGATTCTCGAGTAAGAAATCGCCTGGATTTTGGACTCTCCAGTGAAGGGACCCCATGCAAGAAAATTAGCCCCACTACACCTGGCAATAGACCCCCTTTTGATGCCACCATCGAAATTAGTGACAGTGACGACAATGACGATTCTGATAACAAAAATGTTGACAACTCGACAGGTGTGGGGTCGGGAGTTAATCTTGATGACAATGATTGTGAGGAAAATGCTTGCTATTTCACGAGGCCACCAATGGCCAAGAGGCGAAAAGTGAGGAAACGAGCTGCTTGTGTAGTTAACAGCGACACCGAAAACGATAGCAATGACGATGTTGATGATGACAATATCCTAATCAGCACACTCATGAGCAAGAAATCATCTGCAAACGGTTCAAATGCTAAGAATGATTCGTGTTTGATCGGTAACCGTGAAAAATGTACTCCAAAACGACAACTGAGAAGGGCTGGAGAAAGTGAGGAAAAGGATCTTTTGGGAAAGCGAAAGTTGAAATCTTTCTCGGGTGAGGGAGAAGAAGATGATGTCGGGATGGAAACAGACGAGTCGAGTGGTGAAGGCGAAAGCCTCGGTGGATTTATCGTGAGTAGCTCGGACGAGTCGGGAAGTGAGTCCAATGAAGGTCCAAACTCAGGTGAAGATGATGATGATAATATCCTAATCAGCACACTCGTGAGCAAGAAATCATCTGCAAAGGGTTCAAATGCTAAGAATGATTCGTGTATGAGCGGTAACCGTGAAAAATGTACTCCAAAACGACGCCTGAGAAGGGCTGGAGAAAGTAAGGAAAAGGATCTCTTGGGAAAGCGAAAGTTGAAATCTTCCTCTGGTGGGGGAGAAGAAGATGATGTCGGGATGGAAACAGACGAGTCGAGTGGTGAGGAAGGCGAAAGCCTCGGTGGATTTATCGTGAGTACCTCGGACGAGTCGGGAAGTGAGTCCAATGAAGGTCCAAACTCAGGTGATGATAGCTTGGAAAACGAGTCGGATGGTTGTGTGGGGGGGTATGTTAAGGTGATGTCTGGACTAAGAAGAGAGAGAAAGGGCAAGATGGATTGGGAATATGAAGCTGATATGCTTGCCGATTTGGGTAAATATCCGGAGCTTTGTATGAAGGCCGTATGTGCCATCTTTCGTCGGCAAACGTCTGAGGAGCAGCTTCACCAGGCGACTCTGGTTCACAATAGGCGAGGGTTCAGCCAAGTTCATGCACCGAGGTATCTTTTTCTTTGATTTATTTACTTTTGTGTTGTGAAATTGCTAGCATGTGAAAAATGCAGTTGATATTTGTTTGCAAATGGTTGAGCACAATTCGTGTAGAGGCTGAGTTACTAGAAATGTATTTCTTCTGCTCTTAGGTTCTTGTTAAATTACATATGGTATATCACCAAAAAAAAAAACCATCGATGTCACCCAAGCTGAATTGTTTCATTTTGCATTACTTTTCATCGATAAGGTTTTTATGACCCTGACCAAATCATTCATAATAATACTACTACCTTGCAGAGGGAGTGACCTGGCCAAGTTTCTCATGGATGGAGATCCAAATGGTGACGTGAATAAAACACTGGACGAGCTCCAAAAATTTGACCCATTGGGTATTAAGCAGTGTAGAAAATTAGCAATACACTACTCCAAGCAGTTGTTTGAAATCTACAAGAATCGGGAGGACCCGTTTTTCCATCCTTAGAATAATCTTCGGCTGGTTTTTGACTTATGCAAGTAAGATATTTTTTTCTGGTAAATTCTCATCAATGTATATTTCTTCTTCTGTTAGGACATTTTCCTTGTTTATATGCAGTGGTGACTTTATGTAAGAGACAAATCTTTCTGCAGGTACAAATATTTTGTTTTCATTTGTTTTATGTTATGTTAAAGAAAAATTTATAACATCCAAATTAAACATTAACCAAAAAAATATAAAAATAAAAATAAAAATAAAAAAAACATAAAAAACTTACCACCCTTAATAAAATGAAGGGCTCTAAAAATCTCCCTCATATGAACCATCAAAAGTTCCCAAAATAAACGAAGAACCACATAAACTTCAGAAGTTTCACCCCATACTACACTTATAAATAGGTGAGGGGCTCTAATAAGAGAAATCCATACTTAAAAGGAAAAAAAACATTGGAGTTTTTTAGGCAAATACGAAGTGGAAAAGCAACCTTCATCATTCTCTCTCTGCGGCCCGACCACCGGCTAGCTTCCACCGAGCCCCCAACCGCAGAGGGAGATTGAAGAGAACCAAAAAAACAAAACAGCCAAAGAGTAAAATGGAGATAATCGGCCGGGCTTTGGTGGCTGTGGTGGTGATGGCGGTGGTTGCAGCCGTCTTCCCGTCGGTCTCAGCCGCTAACGTCAACTCGCTTGTGCCGGCACCGGCGCCAGCCTTCTCCAGTGATGGTATCACAATGTTCATATAGACACACATATGTCGAGTCGTGGATAGGAAATGAGAAAATTGCACTTTTGGTCTACTAACTTAGTGTGTTACTATTTTTAGCCAGTAACTTATTGGGGTGCAAAATTGGTCTAATAGCTCTTCAAAATTAGCCAACTTGATCCAATTTTGGTCTCAAACGTTGGAATCTGGCAGCTATTTGGTCCGAAATTTGTCCATTAACTCTAACATATTAGAGTTATTGAACCAATTTCGAACACTAATAAGTTATTGAACCAATTTCGAACACTCTAAATTAGTGGACTAAAACTGCAAATTTCCTGTACAAATTGTTTGTTGGAAATTTGTGTTATGGAAAAATGTTTTCTCATATAAATTGTTTTGCTACACCTGAGTTTTATGTGTCTCATGTTCAAACAAGTCTAAAATTCACTTATTAATTCTTCAAAATATTTTTATTATTAGATTGAGTTGATTAATTCTACAAAATAATTTTTATTAACTAAGTAGTTTTTCAATCGTCAATTATTAAATCATAACTCAATTATTATCCAACTTATCACAACTACCATATGACTTTTTACCAATATTAACGAGACGTAGGTAATAGAGTCTTAATGAACTGAACGGTAAAACATATAAAAATCTCTACTTTCGAGTCTTGAGGGGTCGAGTTTGGGCTCATCTCATCTCATCTCGAGCCTAAACAAGCTGACCTGGCTCACAGTAGGATTATTTCGTATAACAACTCTAATTGTGATCCGATTTATCATATATAATCTGACTTTACTTAAACCTAATCACACCCATTCTAATTAATCTTGTTTTTACACATTTTGTAGGGACAACAATTGACCAAGGAATAGCATATGCCCTAATGCTCTTGGCTTTGGTGCTCACATATATAATTCACTAGATTTATTTTTTTTTTTTAAATTTAATGAATTATAATTAGTAATACCATCATCATCCCAACAAAAATGCACGTCAGAAATTGATCATCAAGAACATTAAAGAAAACAAAACAAGTGGAAGCAAGAACCAAGTTCAAGTGACCCATTTTTCGTGCGTTGTTTTATTACAGATGGTGCTAAATTTCGGGGTAAAATATAATCAATAATTTGTGAATTTCTACTTTGTTTTCTAATGTAGGGTGTTTTTTACCAGGCTTTTTTGCTTTTTATTTTTATTTTATTTTTATTTTGTAACTTATTATGTCCCCTTTTTTGTAACGTTGTTTATTTCAAGTAGTGAGACTTTTGCTAATTTATATAATATTA